TATATGAATCTTGTTACTTTTTTTAATATATCCTTAAAAATAAAAAGTTTTTTTTCTAAACCGCAACTATTTTTTTTATTTCATTGTCATTTTTGGACTCGCCCCAAAATTAACAAAGAAGTGCACTTTTCCCACAAGATACAATTAAAAAACTAAAATTTGTTGTCCAGTGTAATTAGTAAATTTTAGTATTATTCGGCCTTTGGATAGATAGACCATACCTGTATAAAAATAATGATTTAATTTATAGAATAGAGCATCCTGCTTTCTCCCTTGAAATGATCACCTCAGAAACTACACAAACCATCTATTTGCACCTAAGTATACATAATGACAGTTCGCATATTTCTGCTTGTAATTCTGGGTTCTTTCTAATATTATATTATATATCAGCGTGCATGTAGAACATAGTACTTACATGTCTTTTGTATATTTCAACAAAGGATGGAAATCGACTTGAACTGCAATGAAAGGAGTTTATTTTTATGTTGGTACGCATAGACATATCGATAGAGATACGAACGAATGCTTTTTGTCTTAAGGAATGAATGACTTGCCAATGTTAGACTACGTATGTCCTATGGTCACCATTGTACATTTGTTTATTTATCTACACCACCAACAGATCAAGCAATTATCGGTGGGAGAACCGAAGGTAACATAGAACAAACGACGTAGACATAAGAAACATAACATTTAAAAAACTTCACAAATACATGAAAGATTTGCAGAGGATCTTACCAGAAGTCACATTCGTATCGGATATATAATAATAATAATGTCCTTATTCCCACAAAATAAAATACAAAACAAGTTGCAAAACCAGTTTTACATGAACATACAGTGGGAGGGCGAAGTTCGACATATCCGCTCTTCCACTTAACCCCTGGTTTTAGGTTTACATCATAATAAAATCAGCATATACGAGCCCCTTCCCACTTCAGTTGGCCCACTTCAAGATTTGTACCAAAATATGCCTTTATAAACTAAACATGACGAAACTATTTAGTTCTAAAACAATTTATTTACTCAAAAACATTTTAAATACACTCTAGTCGTAAAAAATACATATTTGAAATCACTTAAACCTATAACTAATAGAATATCTGAACAGATAAACAATGTGCGAATAAATGCGCGAAGTTAACAACGCAACAATTGAAAGATTACCATTGGGAAACATCACCTTTTTATTACGGCTGAAATTCTTTGGGGCATAGTGTTAACCAAGTTTTGGCAAAAATTTGGTGTAAAACAATCCCATATTTCTTGAAGCTTTTGTCTCAGTTCGGTGATTGTACGAGCAGGATGTTGTCGTAGAACCTTTTTCATCTCGTGCCACAAAGTTTCAATAGGTGACAGATCTGGACTGCTAGAAACCCATTTCAAAAGTGGTACATTATTTTCTTCCATCCATTTTATAGCCTTTTTCGAGGTATGGCACGCCGCACCATCTTGCTGAAACACAAAATCTTGGCCGGATGTCAAACATTCTTCCCTCACTGGTAAAAGCGATTCTCCTAAAATTGCCAAATATTTGTTCGTATCCACATTTCCATCAATAAAATGAAGTTTTCCTACTCCTTTTGATGATATACTGCCCCAGACCATATTGGATGCTGAAAATTTCACTTTTCTCTTCAGACAGTTAACATGGAATGCTTCATTTTTTTGCGAATAACTCTACTGCGACTGTCACCAACACAAACTTCGAATCGGGCCTGATCACTCCATTGTATTGCACACCATTGTTGACGTGTCCATTGTCTGTGTTCTTTAGACCATCTAAGTCGATTTTTCTTTTGCAGTGGAGTTAATAGTGGCTTTTTTTTGGCCTATAACCAGTTGTGCAACTTTAGGGTTTTTACTTCACTTTTTTTTATAAGAAAACTTACCTTGCAACTGCTAAATCCCAGTTTGTGGGCCTCTCTAGGAGTTGTGGACCTAGAAATTATCCTTCCAACAGCGTCACTCCACAGAGCAATTAATTGTAAATAATTGGCACGCCTGTTTTTCACGATTATTCTTCTTAATGCTCTTCGGTCGGCATTTGTGATATTACTTTTTTTCACATATCGTGTCTTAATATTAACTGTACCAGTTACGTTATATCTTCTAACAATGTTTCTCACACTGTACCGCGATAATTTTGACAAAGATGCAATTTCTGAGTTTGATTTCCCAGAATTAAAAAATTCAATTATCAGTAACCGAATTTTCTCACTAATAACCTTTTCTCTACCCATTTTGAAAACCTCAACTACCCAAAACTATTTTAAACATATTCCGACAGCTGTGATTAATAAAAACAATTGTCATGGCTTTTATTCTTCACAGCCACCTATGCGTTATAGACTTATTTTGCATTGAAATGAAAATAGGTTGATATGCTGTAATTGCAACATGTGTTATTTTTATGCTGAAAATTTGATTAGGGAGTGATAAAGTTGGTGTTTTCTACTATATATTATCAAAATATTCATTGTTAATATTTTAAACCTATAACACCCTGCTACATTTTTATTATTTGTGTTTGATAAGAAAAAAAAAGTTCAATAGTTGGGCTAACTGACGTGGGAAGGGGCTCGTATATCAGCAGGGCCGTGTTAAGCCATGCGGGGGCCCTGGGCCCACAGGAGTTTGGGGCCCTCAAAAAAATCGAAGACAGGCGTACTTCTAATAAAACATGTTTATTGAGTTACAAGTTGCCTTACAAAAATATTATGGGCTTTTTCCGTGGTTTCATTTGGGCAAAATCTTCAATGATGTCGTCAAACTCCAGTAGCTGCAAAATGTCACTCTCTAAAGACATAAGGGACAAACTGGTGAGGCGCTCTTAGGACATGGTCGTTCTTGATTCATTTTTTGTTGTCTTGAACTGTGAAAAAGACCGCTCTCCGCTGCAGTTAGTGACCATTAGACACAGGAAAATGCTTGTTTCAATTTCCACATTTGGGGATGTTCCCTCCAGTTTGTCCCTTCTCAAGAGCCTGTGAAAGGTCGAAATACTTTCAGCCGATTCATTCTTGAAGGTCAGCAGATAATGTCCCAAATTTGAACATTCTGATGTCAGTTCAGCTTAACTAATATGTGGATGTGACTATACATTGTGGCGCATCGAAAACGAAACGCATTTACTGGCAGCTAAGTTTTTTTTGAAAACGCTCAGACCCGTCGATTTTATTTTCGAGGGGGACACAAGTTTGGCAAAAAATCACGTTAGCACGTGCAGCCCCCTAAGCGGGGCTGACACCACCCACAAAATCTTAAATGGAAAGGGAGTCGAGTGATACCTTATTTTAAAGGTTTTTCAAGTCCCTTTATAATGATATAAAATTAATGTACTTCAGTTCAGTAGTTTTGAAGGTTTATTGATTTAAATCTTAAATAAAACTAATACATCATCATTAGTGGAGATAAATACATTTGCCAGCAAAGTAATTTAAAAATGAAGAATGAACAGACCCGCTAGGCAAGTAAATGTTGGAAATGGCCACCATGACTCTCCATGCAATAATAAAGATTTTGCTCAAAACGTTGACGCACATATTGCAGTATTTGAGGAGTAATTTGAAGGCACTCATTCACAAGTCTTTGTCGCAGGTCTTCTAATGATGTTGTCTGAGTAGCATAGATTTTGCTTTGTAAATGACCCCACATAAGGAAATCCAAAGGTGATAAATCTGGAGATCTTGGGAGCCATTCAATGGCACCTCTTCTACCAACCCATCGATCTGGAAACGTCTGATCTAAATATTGTCGAACACGTAATGCGTAATGTGTTGGGCACCATCCTGTTGGAACATCAACCTATTCGCAATGTACCGCCGACCATTCTGATTTTCAATTATGTCTTTTAATGCAGGACGTATGGCGTCTTCCAGTAATTCCAAATACATTTCACCGGTCAAATGTCCAGGTAAGAAAAAAGGACCAACTAAATGATCGCCAAAAATGCCAGCCCAAACATTTAATTTTTGTGGCTGCTGTGTATGAACCTCATGATAAATTTTGGGATTTGAATCAGACCAATATCGGCAGTTATGACGATTTACTACGCCATTTAAGAAAAAGGAACATTCGTCGGAAAAGCAAGTGTTGAATAGAAAATGTTCATCGTTTATAATTTGTTCACTCATATCCTCACAAAATTGTAATCGCCGATCAAAATCGTCTTCATTAAGTTCTTGTACCAGGTGAATTTTATACGGATGAAAACGATGGGCCTTTAGAATCCGTTGGACAGTTCGTCGACTAACACCACACACAGTCTCCAGTTTGGGGGTACTTAACGTAGGATCTACATAAACTTGCCCCAAAACCCCGACTTCTATTGCTTCGTTCCTTATGGGATTTTCAATATTTTATTGGCGACTGACCCAGTTTCCCAAAATTTATCTACGGGTTCTAGAACATATTTTCGATGCACGTTACTGTTCTCATGTCGCACATTAAGTATTTCTGCTGATCTATTAGCGCACTGATTATATCCGAAAAATATTTCGATAATTTCAACACTTCTGCTGTGGAATATACTATGGTTAATTTATGTAATAAAGCGTTGCAAGTTATTTTAGCAACAAAGTTTGGTCAAATCAATCGCAAACTATGTACTAAAATAAGTACGAGATATTTCCTTATCTTTCTTCAAGAAATAACTTTTTTGTCACAAAAAAACGCTCCAATAGCTATTTTCAACAACAAAATGATAAACAAACCATGGGAGTAGTGAAGAAAAGCATTTACTTATTAAGTAAATTCTTTTAGTCAAATTTCTTCTGAAAGTAGTACAAACTAATCCGATGTACCCATTAAAGTCTACTTTAAGCTTTAAATCAATAAATCTTCAAAACTACTGAACTGAAGCTCATGTATTTTACTTCATTATAAAGGGACTTGAAAGACCTTTAAAATAAGGTATCACTAGACCCCCCCTTTCCATTTAAGATTTTAGGGTTGGTGTCACCCCCGCCCAGGGGGGTGTTAACGTGATTTTTTGTGTCGCTCTCAAAAACAAAAACTTGGCTGTCAGTAAATACGTCTGTTTCGTTTTCGATGCGCCACCCTGTATATGCATACCTTTATCAGTACAGTTGGGGTTATAACGACTAGATGGCACTGTTATCGACTAATATTATGAATAATAAGTGTAGTAGTATATGTGATGGCTAGATGGCGCAACACATTGCATATAAGCAGTTGGCTTTTAGGGGCCCCTCATCATGACGGGGCCCTGGGCCCGGGCCCCGCGAGCCCCTGTGTTAAGAGGCCCTGTATATCAGCATAACAGTTTCTGTCTTGTTTATCAATGCATTGTCCATTTTCATTCCTTGTTCTGTATGTGAAATGTATTATAGAACACTTTTCACTGTTGGAACTTTTGAAGAAGCGTGAAGTAGGAGTATGCTGTTCGAAATATCTGAAAAATATTTATAACAGTTATAGACAATCATCCGCTCCATTGATAAAATACATGATTATAATTCGTACAGGCACACATGCTTACAGCAGTGGTCGCCGACCCGTAGATCGCGAGCTACCGGTAGCTCGCAAAGGTAATTCTGGTGGCTCACAACGTATTTTAGAAAGGTGAAATTTTGTGAATTCTCATAACAAACACAAGTAGCGGCAACACTGCGGTGAGCGATCTGTTCGAGAACGATCCCGATTACTTTGAACGCAATAAATACGCAAGGTGCGGCGACAGTGCGCTCAGTTTAAAGCTGAACAGCACAAAGTCCAGCGGTTGGGCTAGAGTTGGCCTGCAACTAAAAACATTATGAGCAGTAGTAAGAAGATAAAGACATACAATTGCCATTCGGAATGGGAAGAACAATATTTCTTTACAGAAGTTAAAGGCAAAAATGTATATTTGTTATCTAATACATTGCTTTTTTTATTTTCAGTTACCTTTATTGAATCGTATGTAACATGCCGTTGTAGCTGACGAAGAATTTTGTTTATTTTTCAAACACCTACGATTGGTAGGAATGGATGTAGTTATGTAGCATGTATTAGTTATTAGTTTGTTTAAGTTTTTAAGTAAGTATTCGAAAATTATCAAAGTAGCTTAACACACTGAAAAGGTTGGCGACCACTGAAATACGTGATGACAAGTGATACGGGTACGAAGAGGATATCGTCGGCTTAATATGCAAAGCACACAAGTCCCATACCACTGATTTTAGAGGAGATGGAAAAAACTATCCCATTGTCTGAAGTGTTTATATTTTATATCTATGATGATCAAGTCCGAACGATAAAATCACATAACTCCGCAGTTTCCGTTTACAAGACAATTAGTCGCTATCCAACATCAAATTTAATATAATCCTGATTCAACATGGTACTGTTACCTTATTCTACTGAATCAGAGCTTTACTCCATGCTGAACATGCACAAGTATCAAATACTATCGCCAACAACACACTGCCTTAAGGCATACCGAAACACTGAACTTTTAAACTTGTATGGACTTGTGTGATATTACTGTCGGTCACAGCAAGGGCGAGTGTTATGTGGAATTCTTGACGTCGTATATGTCGCTTACGCCTTTTTTTCGAGGAATTCTTCGGACATGCGCGTCACATAGTATCAAATAAAAATTCCAATATGTCATTTTCTTCAAAAAGTGGACTTATGTGATTTGCATATACTAAGTGACATATAAATCCGAACACCCAGTTTAAATGGTTTTATTTTAATAAAATTTTGTATAAGTACTTAATGAAGCATAATAAGTAAATGATAAAAATTTCAAAATGATTGCACTGCTTTAAAGTCCTTTGACCTTTAATAATGTGTGGATGCATCCTGATGTGCTACGCATTCTCCAACGCGCCTAAGCATGCTTCTGATCAGGTGTGGTATCTCATTCCAGGCAACCACCAACTCCTCTCGAAGTGCTTCTAGAGTCTGAGGAGGACGTTGCAAATTGAGCAATCTCCTACCCATCATATCCCACACGTGCTCAATTGGGGATAAGTCGGGAGATCTTGGTGGCCATGGTAACAATGTGACATCATTATATTGAAAGAAGTCTATTGTGACTCTTGCAACATGTGGTCGGGCATTATCTTGTTGGAAAGTTGGATCTGCCAGGGTGTCAAGATAGGGTAAAAGATGGGGTTCTAGAACTTCGTGGATATAACGGTGCGCGTTCATGTTACCTCTGATGAAGATTAAAGGTGACCTGGAACCGTAAGCTATAGCACCCCAAACCATAACTCCAACAGTGTGATGAACACGTCTTTCAACAAAAAACTGTGAATTCCTCCATTCACCACGTCGCCTTCTAACCCTGGTACGACCATCGTGCATGCCTAAACAAAATCGAGACTCGTCACTAAAGACAATACTGTTCCATTCCTGATCCCAGAGAGACCGTTGTCTGCACCACTCAATGCGATTACGTCGGTGTTCTCGAGTTAAAGGGAGAACCCAGTGTGGCCGGTATGAAAACAAGCCAAAACTTCTCATTCGTCGGTAAACACTTCGCATGCCAGGTCTTCCGTGTTCTGCAAACCATTCATTTGCAAGGGACCTGGTAGTGGAGAACCGGTCCCTTAAGGCCAATAATCTTAGGCGGCGATCTTCACGGTCTGTTGTTCTACGGCGGCGTCCAGTGCCCCTTCCTCTTTGCGTAAGGCCTTCTCGAAGCCATGCCTGACAACACCTAACCACAGTGTCTACACTTCTTTGCACTCTAACTGCAATTGCCCGAAAAGAAAGTCCAGCTTCCCGAAGTCCCACTATACGGCCCCTATCAAACTCACTAAGTTGACGAAATCGTACAGGTCTCCGTACTCTAGGCATCGTAACCGATCGTAAAGGATGTCAAGAACCAAAATCCGCCAACGTTTATTCTTTACTGCGGCTGAAATATTCATTTTTAGAGCGTTAGTGAATTAAAAAAAGCAGTATAAAAATCGGAATGTCCAACTGATAAGGCTGAAAATTTTTTCACTTGTTACTTACAGTAAGATAAATACATTCACCAACTTTTATTAAAATAAAACCATTTAAACTGGGTGTTCGGATTTATATGTCACTTAGTATATTAAGTTGACGATATGGAATTATGGTGAAAGTGACACAGTAATCGCCACGTCATGGCTGGAGCGATCTCCATTCGTCATCGTCTCTCAGAGCAGTCCATGGGACCTTTGCTCTTGGTTAAAGTATTGTAAGTCAGTGGGTCTGTCAGATCTTGGTTCCCAGATACAGAACAAGAAAAGATACAAATAATTTAGAGATTGAGGAACTATTGTGCCACGAATTTTGTACCTGGTATAATGATTATGTTTAATTTTTTGGCCGGTGTTTACAAATTTATGGTAGTGAGTGATACTGTGTAAGAAATAAAGCTGTCTTATATCATACATTCGAACATCTGCGTATAATTTTTCAGTGGGATGAAGTTTCGGTTTTTTAAGTATCATTTTTAGAATACTTTTTTGAAAAACATCTAAATTATAGATATGTGAGGAACATGCAGCTCCCCATGCTAATATACCATATGTGAGATGAGGCTCAATCAGTGCATGGTATAATGTTCGAAGATATTTTTCTGTCAATATATTCCCTAGGTATTTAATTTTGTAGGATACAAATCTAACTTTCTTTAAGATATAATTGACATGGATGTCCCATCGTAAGTGAGGATCCAAGACCACTCCAAGGTATTTTATGTTGGGCACTCTATTAATTTGCATTTTTTGATCATTAATATTGAAGGAGAAATTTGTGTAATTTGGCAGATGTCTAGCATAAGATCCAAATGGTAAAAAATGTGTTTTAGAGTAGTTAATGCTTAATTTTCTACTGTTAAACCACCGAATAATTTTGATAAAATCATTTTCAATTAGATTTTTCAGATCAGATCAGTCAGTTCCTTCATATAATTATTATATATTAGTTATTTCGCCAACACAATTAATTTGGAAAATATCATTTAAATATATATTGAATAACAGCGGACCTAAGACCTTATGGGACACCACACTTAATATACATTTCTTTACTAAATGATCCTGATACCTGCACATATTGTGGGCGATTTGACAAATAACTTTCGATCAGTGAGTACGCGTTTCCTCTGAAACCAATTCTCTCCAATGCTTCTAATAATAATTTGTGATTAACTGTGTCGAAAGATTTCTTTAAATCAACAAAAATGCAGATTGAAGGGATTCTGTTATCAATATTTTGATGTATTTTTATATATTTATATTTATTTACAATTTTAGTTATTGCGTCCGATGTAGCCTTCCCTTCTGTAAATCCATATTGATTTTCACTTAAAATTTTGAAATTTGTGAGGTATCGAATCATTCTAGTAGATAAAACTTTTTCAAAAACCTTTGCTACACTGGATATTATTGATATTGGTCTATAGTTGTTAACATCTGTTTTTGTTCCTGATTTATGTATCGGTATTATATTACCTTTTTTTAAAATTGAGGGACATATGCCAGATTCAAAGCATTTGTTGATTAGGTAAGTGAGTGGTTCTGTTATGTCCTCGGCTATAATTTTCAAATGCTCGCTTTTAATACCATCGAACCCAGGACTTTTCCGATTTTTTAAGGACATAACAGTGGTGTATACTTCACATTGCTCGACTTTATCCAAAGTAAATGAGTTCAAAGTTCTTTTTGGAAGCTGAGTATTTTGTACATTTGCTTGTATATTACTTGCTAAATTTTCGCCTATGTCAGTAAAGAATTGTACAAATTCATCGCATATCTGTTGAGTATTTTTCAATACTGTTCCCGATGTTGTATTTAACTCAGTAACACACTCTTTAAATTTTGTTTTCCCAGTAATCTCATCAATAGTTGTCCAAAGCCGCTTAGGATCATTTAAGTTATTATTCAATTTATTTAGCTAATGTTTTCGTTTGGTTTGCCTTACAAGCTCTATAAATTTATTTTTATATTGGTTGTAGCAGTCGGTATTCTCTGTAGTTGGCGTTAGTTTCATTACATTATATAGTCTTTCTTTTTCTATTGCCGATGTTATTAATCCTTTGGTAATCCAGGCATTTCTGCTTTTCTCTTTGTGACTAATTATTACTTTATTGGTACTAATTTCTATTAGTTTTTTATTTTCTCTATGAACAGTCCCGTTGCTTTGTCTATATTATTTATAGAGTATAATTGTTCCCAGGATTCTTGTTTGACATTTGCTATTAGTTTTGAATTGTCGAAAAAATTTGTAATTTTCCTGGTTGTTATTAACGGTAGGGATGTTAGAATGTTTTTCATTTGAAGATATCAGTAAAATAGTGGAGAAGTGGTCAGTAATATCGCTTTCTAGGATTATTGGTATACAAGTAATTTTGTTGGATAGGTCTTTCACAAGGCAGTGATCTATATATGTGCCACTGATGGACCTTGTAGGTAGGTTTATATAGGACAGAAATCCGTTACTTGATAGGATATTCAATTCATTTGTGATGGGATCATCGTCCAAAATATTTATATTGAAATCTCCCAAGAAAATATGTTGCTATAAATGAACTTTATTTTGATTTTGAAAAAAAAATCGATATTCTTTAAAAACTCGTGGGGTTCTGAACATGGCGGACGATAAATTGCAGATACCTCAATTTTGTTATGGTTAATTTGGATCATTATGTTTAAAATTTTGATTCCATCGGTGAAAGTGATTATATTGCAGTTTATTTCTTACAAAAACTATCACCCCATCGTTTTGGTTATAAGTGCCAAAGTTATACAGCGTGTCATATCCCTGCTGATTGAAGCAAGAAATATCATAAACAAAGGAAATTCTACATATAGAGCAATAACGAAAAAGGACAGTCTCTCGATTATAAAACCGATACATTGGGCCCTTTAATACAAAGAGTCCATGCGAGAAAGCCCTGATCACCCTAAAAGTCCTTAAACAAAATAAAAAAAAACAATGAAGAGGCGGTGAAACACAAAAAGGCAAAAACAAAGAAAGATCTACACAACTTGTCAGCGAGTAGGAAATGTAAAAACGATATTTTTGCTCACACAAACGCTGCTAAAGTAGCTGGTGATTCTATAACAACGTTTTTGTCAGTTTTGAGAATGTTGTTGACGATGAGCTTTTAACTGAAGTTCGTAAATTATTCCATAAGCGAACCGCCACATAGGGAAACGATCGTCGGAAGGAACGCGTTCTATGCCTAGGTACGATAAAATTGAGATTATTTCTGCTCCTCTGGGGACCAGGCAAAGGCACAAATCTTTCTCTTAAATACGGAATATTTTTGTTTGGATAAATGTTTTCTTAATTTGTTTATATTTTTTAGTCGCATGTAAGCTAAATTTGTTCTGTTTTTTATATGACTGCCGAAGCCAAGCGAGCTATCAAATACGTGTATAATGCCTAGATTTTTTGTCTCCTGAACCATGGGGATTCTGTCATTGTTAATAGAAATTACTAAATTTTGTTCAAAATGTTCTCTTTTATTACTGTTTTTATTGATAATGATTACTTGCGATTTTGAGGGGTTTAGTTTAAGATTGTTATGCTTTGCAAATCTGTCAATTCTTTGGAGGTCTGAATTTAGTTGTTGTTGTTCAATATGGATTGTGGTTTTATTGAAAGGGAGATATATTTGGGAGTCATCTGCATATTGTTTTATCTTTGCGAATTTTACAGATTTGACCATGTCAGATATGTAGATTGAAAATAGCAAAGGAGATAAAATTGAACCTTGAGGAACTCCTCTTTTTATAGGTTTAAAATCGGTTTTGTAAATAGCGGAATCATTTGCTAACATAACACAGTTTGAACGGTTGCTTAAGTATGTTTTTATTAGCTTTACGGAGTTCTACGAAAATCCGTGGTAATGTAACTTAGCTAATAACGTTTCATGATTCAGAGTGTAGAACGCTTTACTGAAATCGAGAAGAACCATGCACGTACTATTTTTTTGTTCTTGATGATGTCTGATATCATCCAAGATATTAACTAATGATGTACTTGTGCTAATTTTTTTTCCTAAAACCGGATTGACTATCGGGTATGATATCGTTTGTGCCACAAAAAAATCTAATTTGATTATAAATATGCCTTTCTAAAATTTTGGATGTAGCGGGTAATATGCTCATAGGCCTCAAGTCTGTAAATTCGTTAGGTCCTGCTATTTATGGTAAGGGTTTAACAATAGCTTTCTTCCATATTTATGGGAATCCCAAAATATACTAAGTGACATATAAATCCGAACACTCAGTTTAAATGGTTTTATTTTAATAAAAGTTGGTGAATGTATTTATCTTACTGTAAATAACAAGTGAAAAAATTGTCAGCCTTATCAGTTGGACATTCCGGTTTTTATACTGCTTTTTTTTAATTCACTAACGCTCTAAAAATGAATATTTCAGCCGCAATAAAGAATCAACGTTGGCGGATTTTGGTTCTTGACATCCTTTATGATCGGTTACGATGCCTAGAGTACGGAGACCTATACGATTTCGTCAACTTAGTGAGTTCGATAGGGGCCGTATAGTAGGACTTCGGGAAGCTGGACTTTCTTTTCGGGCAATTGCAGTTAGAGTGCAAAGAAGTGTAGACACTGTGGTTAGGTATTGTCAGGCATGGCTTTGAGAAGGCCGTACGCAAAGAGCAAGGGGCACTGGACGCCGCCGTAGAATAACAGACCGTGAAGATCGCCGCCTAGGATTATTGGCCTTAAGGGACCGTTTCCACTACCAGGTCCATTGCAAATGAATGGTTTGCAGAACACGGAAGACCTATTGGCATGCGAAGCGTTTACCGACGAATGAGAAGTTTTGGCTTGTTTTCATACCGGCCACACTGGGTCCTCCCTTTAACTCGAGAACACCGACGTAATCACCTTGAGTGGTGCAGACAACGGTCACTCTGGGATCAGGAATGGAACAGTATTGTCTTTAGTGACGAGTCTCGATTTTGTTTAGGCATGCACGATGGTCGTGCCAGGGTTAGAAGACGACGTGGTGAAAGGAGGAATCCACAGTTTTTTTGTTGAAAGACATGTTCATCTCACTGTTGGAGTTATGGTTTGGGGTGCTATAGCTTATGGTTCCAGGTCACCTTTAATCTTCATCAGAGGTAACATGGACGCGCAACGTTATATCCCTAAGTTCTAGAACCCCATCTTTTACCCTATCTTGACACCCTGGCAGATCCAACTTTCCAACAAGATAATGCCCGACCACATGTTGCAAGAGTCACAATAGACTTCTTTCAACATAATGATGTCACATTGTTACCATGGCCACCAAGATCTTCCGACTTATCCCCAATTGAGCACGTGTGGGATATGATGGGTAGGAGATTGCTCAATTTGCAACGTCCTCCTCAGACTCTAGAAGCACTTCGAGAGGAGTTGGTGGTTGCCTGGAATGAGATACCACAGGAGGACATTGACCATCTGATCAGAAGCATGCCTAGGCGCGTTGGAGAATGCGTAGCACATCAGGGTGCATCCACACATTATTAAAGGTTAAAGGGCTTTAAAGCAGTGCAATCATTTTGAAATTTTTATCATTTACTTATTATGCTTCATTAAGTACTTATACAGAGTTTTATTAAAATAAAACCATTTAAACTGGGTGTTCGGATTTATATGTCACTTAGTATATTAACTAATGATGTACTTGTGCTAAATTTTTTCCTAAAACCGGATTGACTATCGGGTATGATATAGTTTGTGTCACAAAATAATCTAATTTGATTATAAATATGCCTTTCTAAAATTTTGGATGTAGCGGGTGATATGCTCATAGGCCTCAAGTCTGTAAATTCGTTAGGTTCTGCTATTTTTGGTAAGGGTTTAACAATGGCTTTCTCCCATATTTCTGGAAATAATCCCCCGAAAATACATGTGTTGATTATATTCAGCAAGGCATTCGTAAAAAATGGGATACATGACTTTAGGTCTCTCATAGGAAAACCATCCTCTCCAATGGCACTTGATGAGATATTAGTTAGAATTTTGATTAGACTGGCCCTGCCTAACAGTTGGAAGCTAAGAGAATCGTTAATGTTTACATTGTGTTTGTAAAAATTGATTAATTCTTGGAAAGCAGTTTCTGGTAAATTGTCGGTCTGTGGGAAGTAATTGTGCATGTCATTTACATTTTGTAAGTGTTCGGGTATAGTTGAGTGAGTTTTCTTGCATGTTGTGTTGAGCTTTTTGGTAGTGTCCCAAAATTCCTTACCTTTCTTTGATGAGAGTAAGTTAAAGAATGTATTTTTTTCTCGGTTAATTGCATGCTTTGTATAGTTCCTTAGTTGTTTATAATATTCGAAATGAGCCTGTGATTTTGATTTTTGAAGTTTTTTATGAGCTTTATCTCTTAGTCTGATTAAAATTCTTATATTTTGAGTTATTCAGGGTACAATTATGAGGTTCTACATATCATAGGGTACAGTTGCCAGAACGTGATTTGGAATTTCGTTTTTAACACTTCAGTGTGCTTCTGTGTTCACTGAAACATCAGACGGTGCGCCGTTTTTAGTGCAATAGATAGCCTGCGTTTTCGAATGATTAATTTTGATTAGCCACCGGCAGGGCGACAGGAGAAATATGAAACTTACAAATACTTACAGAAATAAAAAGTGGTACTGCCATCGTGAAAACTCCTCCACCCAGCCTTATTTCTACAGGTTTCTTTGTGAAAGTCATAAACATGAGTATAACTTTCTGTGTCGTCATGTTACTCCCGATCCAATTAGAGCAGAAGATAGATTCTGCAATTCCGTGACTCTGAAAATTACTCAATTGGGTCTCTTTATAGTAGCTTATATTATCCTAGTGAGTAGGACTGCATTGCAATATACAGGACGATGATCCTTAATATACAGGGTGTTTCAGTTTATTGATGCACAACTTTAAGATTCGATAGAACTTTTAAAATTAATGCATAAAGTCTATATAAACATGGGTCGAAAAATGCGTGGCTTCCGGTGTTTAAATTTACTTTCTTAAATAGTTTTTTTTAAATATTTCGAACAATATCTGATGTATAACAGTGAAAATTGGTGTACAAGCGTTTTTTGGTCCGACAAAACGAACCATGGGCATAGTTTTACTGTAGCCGCTAGAGGGCGCTCTCTACTGTACCTGTAGTGTATTAAAATGACCGAAAAATTTTTCTTATTGCAATTTTTTGCTTTTTGATTGAAAAAACTGATGATTCTTCGCACTTTTCTACATAAAAAAGCTCTCCTGTGAATTTTCGTTATAGTTAGCCGTTTTCGAGATATTTCGATTTTTAAGGTTCGATGCACTTTTAATTATTTATGGGAAAATAATACTTTTTTTTACATTTTCGATTTGGGCATTACAAGTAATTAAGATGATCGTTTAGATTGTTTTTAAACATAGCAATAATTCCTAACTCCAAATAAACACAAAAAACAGAATATTAACTTGTTTAATTTTCCAATATTTTTTTTAACAAATTAAATTAATTATTTACAACTAATATGCTATTGGCTAGTTAGGACAAACATACAAAATCTAAAGTAGTTGCTCGAAATGTAAACCCAATTGTTCAATACACAATTCACATCTACGAATGATCGAACGTGGTATAGCATTATTCAAATAAGGCCTTATTTCATCACATGCATTCCTGATTCTGTCTATTAGCACATCTCTTGTGGTTACGGGAGTCTGGTACACTTTTTCTTTTAGAAATCCCCACACAAAGAAATCTAATGGACTTATATCAGGGGATCGTGGAGGCCGATCCATCTTTCTGGATAATTTTCGTCCAGCCAGTTTCTAACTATTCCCGAATAATGAGCTGGACAACCATCAAGCTGAAACCAGGCCAATCTTCTTAAATGTAACATAACATCATCCCACATATTTGCATGTTCAGCCTTTAAAAATTTCAAGAAGGTTACAGCATTTAACAAAAGGTAAGGTCCAAATAGTCGATTACGGTAGATACCAATCCACACGTTCACACTAAATTCATGCTGAACATTTCTTTCCCGAACTGCATGCGGATTTTCATGCGACCAAATATGTTGATTATGAAAATTTACCACTCCACGTCTAGTGAAGCATGACTCATCGGTCCATAAAAATTATCGAGATACTGACTTTTTAACGTTATTTTATCATAAATAATTAAAAATGCATCGAACCTTAAAAATCGAAATATCTCAAAAACGGCTAACTATAACGAAAATTCACAAGAGAGCCCTTTTTATGTTGAAAAGTGCGAAGAATCAGTTTTTTATTCAAAAAGCAAAAAATTGCAATAAGAAAACTTTTTCGGTCATTTTAATACACTACAGGTACAGTAGAGAGCGCCCTCTAGCGGCTACAGTAAAACTATGCCCATGGTTCGTTTTGTCGTACCAAAAAACCCTTGTATACAAATTTTCACTGTTATACATCAAATATTGTTCGAAATATTTAAAAAAAACTATTTTAGAAAGTAAATTTAAACACCCTGTATTTCGGAAGCCACGCATTTTTCGACCCATGTTTATATAGACTTTATGCATTAATTTTAAACGTTCTATCGAATCTTAAAGTTATGCAACAATAAACTGAAACACCCTGTATACTAAGTGACAAAAAAAGGTAAACGTAGGTTTGATGGTATGGTTTTAATTAAACATGAAAAAACGTGATGTTAATGTCTAAGGAAGTAACTTCTAAATAAATCTTCAATATAAAATATGCTTACCCTATAAATCACCTCGTTGCCAAACCAGCAATGTATAAACACTATTAGAATAATCGCAGAAGAGTACGGCAACAAAAGAGCCATTTCATCCATAGTGAACTAGAAAAGAGTTTAAACGATAATTATAATAATGGAGGAATAAAGACCTAAAAATTTCTCAATTTATGCAAAAATACTCCGATAGCCATTTCCGAATATTTTTTATAGTTTTAGTATAGAAACCACTTTCCATTTTCTTAAGAGCCATAGTTTGGTATACAGGGTGGCCCATCCATGTGTGGACGGAATATTACTCATAAACAAATACGTTTTGAAAAAATCTATTTATGGGATGTTATACATGACATTTGAGGGCACATTTCTGAAATATTTTCCGTTATAAAGGATGTCCCAATTAATAATAGTAATAATAATAATAAAATGTCTTTATTAGGCACATTATATAAACTACAACATAATGTGACCTCTACGTAGGCGAAGTCTAGCTCTTGGCTACTCTACTTAACCTACCCAAATAATAAACTGAAATACTTAATCAAGGAAACTTTGACAAGCAGCAAAAGACGCTTCAAAACAATGAGCTTGATAGCTTCCTGACATACATAATATATACACACATATATCTATTACGTAAAAATAAAATAAAATACAGGGTGACATCGAAGTTGAGTCATTTATTTTAACAGTGAGTAGATCTGATCAAAAGAAATGTTTTTTTCCTTTACCATTTTTCTGGTAAAATTAAAGTAACAAAGTTATAGCCCTTTGGAAGTTTGAGTACCGCCCTGTCTCAATAATGATATTATGTTCTCGTGTTTGGCAACAACAGATATAATCCGCCTTATCCGTTCATCGCATCGGAAACAAAAAAGCGAGAGAATTTGGAACGATCTTTTTACAATTATTTTCTTCAGTTGTATACAGTCAGTATCAGTCGGTAGTCGGTAACGCGTAAGTGAATAATCGTGTCTGTTGCGAGGCTCAAATCAAAAATGGCACATGTTTACGAAAATGCTGAACTTGTGGACATGGTTCTTATTTACGGGGAGTCTTTACAAAATGCTGCCGCGGCATCACGGATCTATGCGGATCGGTTTCCCAATCGAGTGCAACCAACCCCTCGTGCCTTTGTTAATGTAGTGCAAAGAGCTCGTGAATCAGGTGACTTAAGACCTCACAGAGGAGATCATGCCGGTGCTCCAAGACCACACGATCAAATAGAACTAGAAGAACAAATTTTAGAATTAGTAAGTGATGATCCAACAGTAAGCACCCGACAAATTTCAACTCAATTGGCGATTAGTCAGTATAAAACTTGGAAAACTCTACGTGAAAATCAGTTCTATCCGTTTCACATACAAAAAGTGCAGGCCTTACAACCGGAAGATCATGAACAAAGGGTTGACTTTTGCAATTGGCTTTTAAATAAACATCAAAATGATGACAATTTTTTAAATCAAATTTTAGTGAGTGATGAAGCCCTCTTTACTAGAAACGGAATTATTAATTCACGTAATTCTCACGTTTGGGCTATTGAAAATCCCCATGAAATAAGGGAAACCAATTTTCAACAGCGATTTGAACCAATCAACCTGTGGGCGGGAATTGTTAATGGAATTTTAGTGGGGCCTTTTGAATTACCAAATCGCTTAACTGGTGAAAATTATTTTGATTTCTTGCAACACAATTTGCCTGGTTTACTGGAAGATGTGCCTTTAAATATTAGACAAAACATGTGGTTTTTACAAGATGGGGCACCACCCCATTATGCAAGAAATGTGCGTGAATTTTTAAATAGACAATTTAATAATCGTTGGATCGGCCGTGGCGGTTTTGTACCTTGGCCGCCAAGGTCTCCGGACTTAAATACTTTAGACTTTTGTTTGTGGGGTTGGCTAAAAACTCTAGTGTATAAAACACCGGTTAATACACGCGAAGAATTACGTGCTCGAATTGAGGAAATGAGTACAGTGATCAGAAATCAACCAGTGATTTTATTGCGTGCTTGTAAAGAGACATGGCTAAGACGCGCCCAGCTGTGCGTCGAGCAAAACGGAAATCATTTCGAACAGTTTTTGTGACATGCTTTTGGGCGCACAGGTCCGCACTGAAATACTTGTCGGGAGGATACTTTATAAAACAAGGTAACATTTTTTTTTTAATTTTTTTTTATTTTTACACACATATTTTGGTTTATCTTCCTTCTACAATCATTATCTGAAAATTAATGACTCAACTTCAAAGTATAAGAATTAAAAACTAACTTTTCCACAATTACTACAATGACAAATAAATCTGTTTCACATGCTTACGAAATCTGTTTACTGGCCAATCCTTTATATTGTCATCTAATTCGTTATAAATCAGGATAGCATTGTAAGTGTATGAACTACGAAATAAAGTAGTTTTATACATAGGGATCTCTAGTCTTTTTTTGTGTCTGAAATCAATGTCTGAATTATTTCGTCTGAAAACAAATAACTCATAAAGATACAAGGGGGATCGAGAAGATATGATCTTATGTGTAAACACTGCTATATGGTACTTGCAAGCATTTTCTATACACATCCAACCAAGCTGAAATCTCTTTAAGGAAATATGATCATATTTCTTGAGATTATATACAAATCGACAAAAAGTATTTTGGAGTTTTTGGAGTCTTGCTTTTGTGATAGAATCAAGACAATGATACAACACAGTGCTACAGTAAAATAAGCTTGGAAATATAATAGCCTCACATAACTTTTTTCTAACTTTAAAATTCAAAATAGAGCGATTGACATAAAAACACTTCAAAGTTGCATAACATTTTTTTAAGATAGACGAAACATACTCCTTAAACCGTAAAGTATAATCAATAATCAACCCTAAATTTTTTGTAGTATTTACGACAGCTAGACGCTCCTTGTCGATTTTTACATCAAGAGAATTCAATATAGTGTTACGTTTGACAGCAGGACAAAAAAGCATCACTGAGCACTTATCCTTATTGAGCTTAAGATTGTTACCATTTGAGTATCCTACTATTGCCCCCAAATGATCATTAAGCTCATTGATTGAAGTATGTAAAGTGTTACTATTAAAACTCTTATATATCTGTGTATCATCGGCATAGCACATCACAGAAGAGTTTTTCACAGAGCTATCCAAGTCTATAGTATAAATTAAGTACAACAAGGGCCCTAAAACTGAACCCTAAGGGACACCTGATGTTATATCAATCGGACTAGATATAGTGTTGTCTATCTCTACTACTTGTTCACGATTTGAAAGGTATGTTATAAAAAACATTAGAGGTATGTCTGAAAAACCAAAAAACTTCAATTTAGCACATAAAAGCTCATGATCTATTTTATCGAACGCCTTAGAATAATCTAATGATACAAGTGCTGAAGCATCTCCCTTATCAAGCGAAGCAATGATGTCATCTAAAACCCTTGCTAAAGCTGTAGTTGTACTAAAACCACTGCGGAAACCAGATTGACACTTGGGAAAGAAATCATTATTAGAGAAATAATGATAAACCAGATGTTTAATCAATTTCTCCAATATCTTCGATATAACAGGAATCAAAGTTATAGGTCTTAAGTCTGAGAGACATTTTGGATTTTTACATTTAGGTAAGGGCTTGACAAGAGATAGTTTCCAAGCATCAGGGAAATACCCAGCCTCCAGGCAACAGTTCAATAAATGCGTCAATGGTAGTAGTACTCGAGGCAAGCAATGCTTAAGCATTGAGACTGTTATACCATCCGAACCTGCTGCATTAGATTTTAGGGACAGAATAATGTCTAGCACATGTGGGGTAGCAAAACTAAATTCAAATCTAGCACTTTCATTAATTTTGGTACTAGTAAATTTATCAACTAGATCCTTGCAATTGCCCGAAGGTGAAAACGGAAGAAAAATAATTGTTTACTTCATCGGCATTTTTCAACTGCGTAGGTAAAGATCTATCTACATTAGTTATGAGTTTCAATGAATGTACAGCTTTCCAGAGATGCTTGTTACTATTTAGTTGTTCATTGAAGCTTAGATATGCTGCTTTCTCCCGCCTAATAGCGGAAATGACATCATGTCTTAATTTCTGGTAATATTCGAAACTAGCTGGACTTTTTAAAATCTGATACTTTCTGAAGGCTTTATCTCTCTCAGAGATCAAAAATTTTATGCCACCTGTGAGCCATGGAGCATAAGGTTTAGTAATACGTGCTGAAACAACAGGAGCATGGACATCAAACAAATCCAAAATATGATTAGAAAAAAACGTAGCTTTATCCTCTAAGTTACTGATCATCCCATGGGATTTTATACAAATCCACTTAAAACTGATCTTTACAACAATGTTTAAAGTCTCTATATTTGACAGTCTTTCGACCTACATATCAAAGTTGTGATTTTTCAAATTGAATGCCTCAACTTTTATGCATATTTGGATAAACCAATTCAAAAGAAGAAAATTTATATAACATACTATGGGGTTTTGGTAATTAGCTACTGAGATATAAGGTTTTGTCTAGAAAAACCCCTCACCCCGACGACCCCTCAGTCCACCATTCTGAAATTTGGAGTGCTGAATTTTGTATAAAAAAAACTTACACACATCAGCTTTTATCTTATTTGTTACTTTTTCGAATTTTAATTTTTTTCATACGAGGTGGTCAAAAACGCAGATTGTAGTTTTTCTCAAAAATTTCAAACGCATCACACTATATATTTGTGCAAGTTTGCATTCAATTTTTGATAGTATTTTTTTATACTAGACACATAAGGGTTTACGGCTAATTTTTCGGTTATTAGCACGTAACTTATGGAAAGGCTTAAGTCCCTAAAATGTCGCATCATCCAAATCCAATAAATTGTTGATTAGTTACAAACTGTCAAAATTAGCATTATAGTAAAAACGTGTTTGAAAATGAATTTTTCTAAAGAAGAAAATGTGAATATGGTATTCGTATGTATAAATAATCCAAGTGTTATCAATGAGGAGAATCATTTGGAGGTTCTATTAAAGTTGCAGGAAAATCCCCATTTAAATGCACGGCCAATTGGAGCAGAAACTGATATAAGCATGAACTCCAAAGTATTATTGGGTGGTATGAATAAAAATGAAGTACCTTCTAATACTACAAGTATTAGCATTTTCTACAAAGTATGTACTTCAAATCTGAGAAGAAGCTACATTTTCAAGTAGATACTTTTTGTTTTACCGGAACTTACTATATCAAGTAGTATTTACTGAAAGTACCTACTTCTTGTAGTAGATGCTACTAATTTGAAGAGGAATTTAGTATATGCTTGACTTTTGCGAAGTTGGTATAAGTGCAACTTCAGAGAGAATACTACGGTTAGTTTTGTTTAGTTTTCTTTGAAAATGGAATGAATACGCAGCAGAAAAATATATAATGCCAGACGCCGCTATCATAATGATATTTTATATCATAAAATATTTCGGTAATTTAACACTAATATTATTATTGTTTTTAATTACTTTTAAAATTGTTTATTCTTTTAGGTTTATTAGAGAAAACGTATCTTACCTAGCGAATATATTTCTCCCAGAAGTAAATGAAACTCGAGGCGGTGCTCTTACACACATCCAACAAATGGAAGTATTTTTAAGAAGCTTAGGTATGTTTCAATAAATGAAATAGGATAAATAATCTAATTTTTATATCTTTATTTCAGGAGACCCTGGATTTCAGCTAGGCGTTGGACTTGATGTTGGGATTCATCAAACAACCGTTTCAAAAATTATTGATAAGGTATCACGTGAAATCTGTAGCAAGAAAAATCAGTGGGTTAAATTCCCTGCTACGGGAGCTATGTTCAACAGAGCTAAAGATGAATGGGCAGCACATAATACAATACCTCATGTCATTGGCGCCATTGACTGCACTCACGTGAAAATTATAAAACCATATGTATACGTACATGGCGATGAATATATTAACAGAAAAGGAGTTTCTACAATAAATGTACAAGCAACATGTAATAGCAGAGAAATGTTTACCAGTGTTGATGCTTCCTGGCCTGGGTCTGTTCATGATTCTAGAATATGGTACAATATTCCTATTTACCCTATTATGTATAATAATCAAAAAAGAGTTTGTCTTTTGGGTGATTCTGGATATGGTGTAACTCCTTGGATGCTTACACCTTTCAAAGATCCCATAACAAACATTCAAAAGTATTTTAACAGAATACATGCAAGAGAACGTGTGATTATAGAAAGATGCTTTGGCCAGATAAAAACAAGATTTCCTATGTTGAATACAATCCGACTTAAAACAGATAGAACATGTCGATATATTATGTGTGCATTTATTTTACATAATTGTGCAAAGTTTTTGAACGATCCAGATGAACATTTTGATGAAATGAACATAGAAGAAGAAGCAGTTATGCCTGAATTATATGCCGAACCAAACAACGGTGAATGAATGAATGAATCTTGAATTTTAGAGGCATCCCGGCCACCATAAGGAGCCAGTGCATAGGCCGCTTAAGCGGGCCCTTATGCACCTCTACAATACTTAAATCACAAGCCTCGCCCTTTTAGCGAAGTTGAGAATCGCCTTGAGTCCAAGCTCCTTTACGTTCTGAGGGTCCAAAGTAATGGACCCCAGTATAGTCTGCCTATAGTAGCTCAGAGCTTCACAGCGACACAAAACGTGTGCCGAGGTCTCTTCCTCTACTCCGCAGCGTTCGCACAAGGGATCCTCAGCCACCCCCATCACGTGCAGGTGCCGCCTTAACGTGTTATGGCCAGACAACAGTCCCACCAGCAACCTTAGGTTGGCTCTACCCAGAGATAGGCAGAAGCGTCCATCCTTAGCACTGGGCCCTTCAATGAGCTCTCGTGCCTGGCGGAGATGTCTAGAGATACTTCTCCATTTCTGAGAGTGTTGTCTTGCAACCCACGTCTCCATTTTCCTCCTAGCTTTATGCGCGGTTACTCCTAGAGCTGGCTCAGGACCAACGAGCTTGCTGGCTGATCCTGTTTTCGCCAGAGTGTCCGCCGTCTCATTGCCCCTTATCCCAGCGTGCCCCGGTACCCATATTAACGATACCGGATGCCTCGCTGCGAGGCAATCCAGAGCCTCCCTGCATTGCAATCAATACAAGACTCGAAGTAATCTTACATGCACTTAGTGCTTTCATTGCAGCCTGGCTGTCGGATAAGATTGTTATTCTTCTCCTAGGCCCACCCTCCTCCAGAATGTGAGATACACAAGCCAGAATCGCAAAGATTTCCGCCTGGAAAATGGTGGTGTACTCACCGAGAGGCAGAGATAGCCTAGTTCTAGGTCCAGAGACCCCAGCACCTGAGCCCTCTTCGGTGACCGAGCCGTCCGTGTACCAGACCTGCCCGCTCACTTCGGAGAGTCCTCGGCTACCGGCGTCCCACTCCTCCCTCGTTGGGTACTCCACAATGAACTTGCGGTTGAAGCGATATTTAGGGGTAATACGATCACCCCTGCTTAGAAGGACGGGGTCCTCCCTTTCTAATTCGACTAATATGGCAGTATGCCCCTTGACCGGATTCAAGAAAGCCCAGCAGCCCTGACTCCACAGTCGATGAGCGACTACTCTCGCTTCACCGCGGATCACCAGATCCAACGGTGGGAGATCCAACAGAGCTTCCATTGCACTCAATGGCGTTGTTCGCACTGCGCTTGTAATGCTAATACAGGCCAAACGCTGAATTTTATTGAGTTTGGCCTTAGTTGACTCAGTTCTAATGCAAGGCCACCAGACCAGGGAGCCGTACAAGAGAGATGGACGTACTATCGTCGTGTAGAGCCAGTATACCACTTTGGGTTTAAGCCCCCACCTTGCACCGACAACACGTCTACAAGCCCACATCGAATTGCGAGCCTTGCTAACCTTGTGTTCCACATGCTCTCTCCAGTTCAGTTTGCAGTCCAGGATAATTCCCAGATATTTCACTGACTGGGACAAAACTAATCTAGTCCCAAAGAAGGTAGGCATGACCAGTCCGTCAAGCCTTCTTCTCCTAGTGAATAGGATCAGCTCGGTCTTTTCAGCATTAACAGAAAGATCGACTTCCCTACACCACGATTCCACGGAGCGCAGAGCGCCCTGCATAATTTCCGAGACTGTTCTACAGAAACGCCCCCTAACCACTATGCTTACGTCATCAGCATAGGCTTGCACGTAGACACCCATACTGTTGAGCCTAACGAGCAGTTCGTTCACCACGATACACCACAGTAGGGGTGACAGAACTCCACCCTGAGGGCAGCCTCTAGCTACGTTCACGCTGCAGCTTACGTTATTCAGCATAGCTGTTGTTACCCGACCCTCCAGAGTAGAGAGGACCCAATCTATTAGGATTGATCCAACCCCGTGTCTAACCAAGGCCTGTCTGATAGAGTCGGTTGTGGTGCAATTAAATGCACCTTCAATATCTAAGAAGGCCACGAGTGCCACTTCTCGCTGATCTAGAGTCTTCTCCAGCCTCCCGACCAGATTGTGTAAGGCCAGATCAGTCGATTTTCCAGCTTGGTATGCAAACTGATTTGCATGAATGACACACCTTTCCAGTGGGCCATCCCTTAGGTATCTATCAACTATCCTTTCCAGGGTCTTAAGCACAAAAGATGAAAGAGTAATCGGTCGAAAATCCTTCGGGCCAGTATATCTATCTCTGCCCGGTTTAGGAATAAATACCACTTTAGCCTGCCGCCAACTTCTAGGTGTGAAGCCCGTGGCCACACATGCTCGAAACACATTCAACAGGTAAGGAACAACCGAAATCCGTCCCTGCTGTAACATGGCCGGAAATACGCCGTCCAGACCTGGACTTTTGTATGGGGCAAACGAATCTACTGCCCATACCGTCCTTTCGAAGGTGACAATCTCCCTTGCCGTGCGCCAGTCCTCCCTTGAGGGCCTGCACAACTGCATGCACTCTGTGATTGATCGCGCTACTGTGGAACCGGGAAAGTGCGTATCCATCAGAAGCCTCAGAGTATCTTCCTCGGAAGTAGTGTTCCCCCCCCGAGGGATCATGCAGAGATCCCAATCTTGCTTTAATGTCTTTGCATAGGACTCTGTGTATTCTTGCAGTAGCAGGAATGTCATTTATGGACTGACAGAAGTGCCTCCAGGATTCTCTGGAGGCCCTTCTAATCTCCTTTTTGTACTCCTGCAATGCCTTTTTGTATTCTTCCCATAGAGGAGAACCTCTCCTGTGCTTAACTCTGCTAAGAAGTTTGTGCACCGCTCGTTTTCTATCCTCTAAATCTTTGGTCCAGAAGGTTGCCTTGCCCTTACCTTGTACTTTGCGTAACGGGCAGTTTTCCTCATATGCGGCCGTCAAGTCCCTGCTCAGAGACTCGACAGCTGCTTCTATGTCAGAGCCCCTGCCAAGCCTGTATGGGACCGCTCCAAGCTTACTGTCAATGTCTGCCCTAAAGGACCCCCATCTAGTATGCCTGGGATTCCGAGCATATTTATCCGGAATCTCTCCATCAGTCTTGAACAGTATATACCTGTGATCCGATAGAGAGGGTGTTAGAGACACTTTCCAGTCCCTGATGTCCTGAGCTAAGTTAAGCGTGCTCAGTGTTACGTCGATAACCTCTTCTCTTACACTATTGCTGAAAGTGGGCATGTTACCGACATTCAGAACCTCAAGGTTCGATGCCCCAAGAAACTCCATCAGGTCTTCGCCCCGTCTGTTGGTGTTCGAGCTGCCCCACGCAACGTGATGGGCATTACTGTCGCATCCAATCACAAGGTCGAGTCCAGAATCCCTACAGAATGCGACAAGGTCCCCCATTTCCTTAGACGGAGGAGGGTCTCTTGAATCGTAAGGAAGGTAAGCCGAACAGACAACCAAGTCCCTGTCACTGCCTTCCTTCTTATATCTAATTCTGACTGCAACTAAGTCTCTGAATGTAAATTCTTTAAGTTGCCATGAGTTGACGGAAGTCATTACGCAAGCTCTGGGCTTAGTGTCCGGAGTATCGCTAAAAAGCGTATAGCCCGGTATACTAAGCCCGTTTACTGAACCGTTTCTCAGCCAGGGTTCCTGGATGAGAGCCACGTCATGTCGGCCTTGAGTGATCTCCTGAGTAAGGGCCCTCGAAGCCGCTATGCAGTGTTGTAAGTTAATTTGGATGAAATTAAAACTTACCATGGATGTTGAGAGGCCCTTCCTACACCTTCCCGAATGACGGTATGTAACCCCTATTCGGGCGTACCGCCGTCGCCGCCGCAGTCATCGCTGCCACAGCCGCCTTCATCTCCGCTTCCACGGAGGAGTTCTCGGACTCGGTTCAGGATTCCATCCTCGTCCGAGTCGCTATCGTTTCCCTCTGGGACCAGATCCATCGCAGGGTCCGCCACGATGTTTTCTGCGGATATCCCGCTTGGACCCGCCGCCTCCACGTCCGTAGCCTCCGGTGGCTCCAGCGAGAGCTGACCCGGCCGACCCATCCCCTGTGAAGGAGCCTGGTCTACCGCCACAGCTCCCGTCGGTCTGGGCTGGTCCGACTCCTGGTTTGGAGCCAGGCCAGTTCCAGCAGGTGTCGCTCCACTGCTCTTCTTCTTGCTCAGGAGTGTAAACACCCCCGAACTTCCACCGCAACACAGCCTGTTGCCGTTACCTACAATGACCTTCCAGCTTATGGAATCAACTGAGAGGACAAGTCGGACACCTATCGGCTCTTCCTTCCTCTCAAGTAGCCTCCACGCGCTGGGAAAAGTCCCAGGATTGTGCCTCCTGAGTCTCCTCGTGATGACCTCGTTGTCCAGGTTGGGACCCGGAAACCAGGCCATCACGCGGTGGTATATGGGAAGGTCTCCAAAGCTCATCGTAATGAGCCTTGCGCCTTCCCACGGCCGCAGATCCCCCACGTGGGCCTCCAACCATGCCCTAGAGGATTCGTCCTCGCAGACAAAGATGGCTGCCCCTCGAGAGAGGTAGCAGTCAATGTACCTGGGAAGGGTCACCTCATCTGGGGTCCCATCTATCAGCACACTGACCGCCTCCTGGACCTGCTGCACCTGTACATTAGTAAGTTGAGTCCCAGGATAACCGTCGGACACGACGGCCACCCTGAGACCCGCTTGGGACGCTCGCGCATAACTAATTTGCGCATGCGTCGCAGTGCGAGGCTTCTTCCGCGAGGATGCGCCCTCCGGTGTCCCACCGGCAGACCTCTGCCGCTTCCCGTCACCGGGCCGCTTTAGGGTCTCCGCTGACACACCGGATTGCGCACCGTCTAGCCCAGATGGCGGTTGGGTCCGTCCAGCCGGGGTCCCAGAAGTGGTGCCCCGACCTTCCGAGCCCTCCGTCATCTGCGCCTCTCTCCGCTTCCGAGCCCTTTTCCTTTCGGAACCTGGCCGAGACTTCTTCTTAATCTTTAGAGAGCCCACCCTTTCCGCTAGCTCTCTCGCTAAGCTTCTGACAGATTCCTCTGTCGTACGATCAGGGTCCCCTGGTGAGGGGTCGCCTGGATGTTCGGGGTCCCCTGTAGGGGGGGCCTCGGGTTTTTTATTATTTTTGCTATCGTTTGGTTCCATAATGTTCCCACGAGTATAGGGGAAGTGGTGATCGACGTCCGCGGTGCCCCTACACGGACGCAAGGCTGGATACTCTGGGAGGTCGCCCGGTGTCCCAGAGGCTCCGTTTAAGACGGTGCATCCCCACCGCCACGCACCCCTCGGCACGGAATCGCTTAACACCTTGGGTTGGGTAACGTACCATTGCCCATGATGACCGTTGAGCTGCAGGCGTCCCAGATATACATCCGAGACACCTGTGGCTCAACGAATCATTCGATTGGCCGGGCTACCGGCTTTCCGGCGGGTCTCCTCAAAAAACTAATCGAGGCGGTCCACCGCAAGACCGGCACCCCGTTGCCCCCCCTACACGGTCGCACACGGTTCAGCGCCCAAGGCCGCCCCGCAGAACGAACTCGAGGACGTACGGGTTGGATTTTTGTAGGGGAAAACAACGGTGAAGTCCGACGCCGAGGTATCCAGTTTAGAAATGAAATTGCAACACTAATGTACAGACAGCGTTGAAAAAGTAAATAAATATTTGGATTGTTTGGATTTTATACATATTTATTTTATGAAGGTTCTGACAAAATAATTAAACCTAATAAACATGTTATACAAATAATAAACATAAACCTTATTTCTCTTTTAACAAAAAAAAAACATATTAATCAGTAGGTATTTTTGAATCCAAATGAATTCAAAAGCTCGCCTGTTGTCGTGCAAAGTAATCTTCTACGAATTGCTCTACAGCTCCTGCGGCCCTTTCGACAGCTAGATCGGCCTTTTCTTGAGCTATAGCAGCTTTTTCTTGAGCTGCGGCAGTGTTGATTTGCTGAAGTAGTAATTTCTTTCGTAATTTAGTCATTAATTCTTTATCATCACAAAAATGTATTTGATTCTCTTCATCGGTCAATGATATATCAACGTCTTGACTGGTACCCGCAGTTACACCTCCTAAAACATTATTAAATTAAAAATTTTGCACCACAATAGAATTATGATTTTATATGGAGGAAAAGTGATTTTATGACGAGCCTGAATTAGACAGCCATTGAAATTAACTTTTCCTCCAAGTAAAATATGCTGTTTTTCTTCAAATGTCAAGAAATTAATCGTGGAAAAGTAAAAAGTGAAGCTCCGGCTGATGAAAAATAAAACTTCGTGGCCGCATACAAGTCAAGCAATAAATGATTTACTGACGTTTGAAGAAAAAATATACATATAATATCAAATAATACAGTACCTGGTACTTGTTGAATTACTGGATTCTCACTCCCATTCCATAGTTTGAAAAATTTTTTTTGCCACTCATTTAACTTAATTTTCCTATTTCCTGTTTTCTTCATATCGGTAATATTTTTAATTTTACTTTTCATATTATTAACTTTTTTTAATACCTGTTTTGCATCTAAATTTTGTTTTGTATTTCTGTTATACGTCTCTGTGAATTCTTTAAGTGCTTTGTCTTTGGCAGACTTAACGGGAGGTGTCATTTTTTTATCCAGAATAATTTTGTAGTCTTCTAACATCGTAACAAAGGCTAACTGCAAATCTTCATTTTGGGACTCTTCTTGATTTGGCATTTCCTCGTCGGAAGACATTTTAACGCGCGTGCCGTACAATACCAAGTATGTGAATATTTCAAATAAAATAAAACAACAAGTGTGACCTGTCGAAACTTGTGGAAATGAGAAGATGCTACTCAATTTAAAGCATTTACTTCGGAATAAAAGTAGATACTACAGGCAAGATAGTAAGTACTTCGACGTAAAGCAAATACTACCGGAACTGATTGGATACTTCATGGCGAAGTATTTACTATGAAGTAGATTCTTAAAATTGTAGTATAAGCATCTACTTCGTTTTTATTCATACCTCTCATCACAAGCCTAGGCACCATCCATATCACCTATGCTGGCATCAAGGCCTTCGTCCTCAGGATTTCGCAGCTCGAATGGAGTTTAGTAGATTAATGCTAAATAAAGTGAGTGAAGACACTACTTTCCTGGATAAGGTTCTTTTTAACGATGAGGCAACTTTTCACAGCATAGATGTTCTCAACAGGCATAACATGCACTACCATGCGACGGAAAACCCTTACTGGGTTAGGCAAATAGATTTCCAAAATAAATGAAGCTTGAATGTTTTTGGAGGAGTTATTGGCAGACAAGTTATCGGGCATTTCTTTTTCGACAACAGATTAACAGGTACAGAATACTTGAATTTTTTGATCGAGCATTTGCCTTTGCTTTTGGAGGATGTCAACCTGCAACTCGGATGGATATGTACTTCCAACATGACGGCGCAACTGCGCATTATCATAACCGTGTGCGTAACTATTTGGACACCTGGAGTAACAATCGTTGGATCGGTCATGATGGGCCTATAGCTTGGCCTCCTAGATCAGCAGATATGACACCGATGGGCTTTTTTCTATGGGGCTACGTTAAGCAAGAGGTTTATAGATATCCACCATCTACCCCGGAAAATATGAAGAAAAGGATTGAGGATGCTATTCTGAACATAAGGGAACACATGCTACGGCTGTGTTCAAAATTATTTCCAAGCAGTTTTTGTAGATTTATGTTGTTGTTTTAGTTGTTTCTCTCTATTACGCGTGAAGCTGATTTATACTGTTCTGATTGTTATTGGTTTTTAGGTCAAATCTGTACTGTTAGTGGCAATATGAAACTAGCCCACTGTTTGTCTTTTGTTTTCATGGATGATGTGATTTTCTTCCTTAATTTTGGTGTGTTCTCTTAAAAGCCTAATAACTCAAAATCTAGTGATTTTATCTAAATCAAACCTCATACCAAAAAAAGCTTATAAAAAATTAAATCCAAACTTGCACAAATATACAGGGTGATGCAATTGAAATTTTTGAGAAAAAGTACAATTTTCGTTTTTGATCACCCTGTATGAGCAAAAATGAAAATTCGAAAAAGAAACAAACAAGATGGCAGCTGAGGTATGTAAGTCTTTTTTTGATACAAAATTCTGCACTCCAAATTTCAAAATGCAATAAAATTTGAGGCATTCCTTTTAAAAAATCACAACTTTGATATGTAGGTCCAAATTGGGACACCCTGTATAATTGTCAATATTTTAGAAATGTGCCCTCAAATGCCATGTACAACATGCCATAAATAGATTTTCTCATATGAGTAATATTCCGTCCACACATGGATGGGCCATATAGTTAACTTTTCACAGATTTTGGTTTCTCATCACCGTGATGATGATGATTACGTTTATTATACTCTATAGCGATTCTTTGACGCGATCCAGCAGCAATTTTTTTACATTTTCAATCAGTTCAATTACAGCTTAAAAGATATGACTAGACTAGGATTAAAACTTACCTCAGTTAGTCGGAATAAGGTGGTACAAACCACTAATATCCCAGTTACAAAATGTATAGATATGCCGATGCGAAAAATATGTTGCACCTTACGGGTCAGGCTAAAAAGAAATAGAGACTGTCACTTACATCGGGGACAGCTTAGAAAATGTGAGACGGAAGCAATTTTTTGGGAAAATGATATTTTGGTGCCACGATATACCCATTAGTGCTCATTTTGAAAATGCTATCATCCATTTCCCAGTTGTTTAAAATAGACCTACAAGTTTGATAAAAAAAAAGTTACACAAAATTTTGTATTTATGTATTTATTTATTTATTTATTTATTGAAATCCACCACCAACAGTGTTAACCAATTACTGGTGGCCAAACAACAATAGAAATAGTAAAAAAACATATAAAAATACAACGAAAACTAAAAACTAAATCATTTCAGTGCAAACTCTCTTAATATTCGAAATACTTGTGTTGAACAAATCAAATGTACTCTGTAGACTATTATAACATGAACAGATCGAGTACAAAGGTGAGTGCAACAGTAAGTTAGTTCGTGGGGTAGGTAGGTAAAAAGTAAGTGTATTGCGAGTAACAAATTTTGGAGCATTAAATTTAATCTGTGCTAGAAATGATGGACAATCATAACTGCTATGCACTACTTTATGGAGGAATATTAGCGAGTGAATCTTTCTTCTGTTATCAAGACTGATAAACTTGTGCTTACTTAACAGGTCTTCCTGTGGGACCCCAATGGGTGGGTACGTACCGTCAATTTTGAATGAAAGAAATTTCAGAAATTTCCGCTGAATCTTCTCCAGAGAGCCACAAGTTGTAACATAGCATGGATTCATATTAGCCGTCCGTATTCTAATTTAGACAGTATGAATGAATTATAAAGCATAATCATGGCATCTTTGTTACTTAATTCCTTTGAGTTACGTCTACAAATCCTAATAATCTGTTGACAGCATTAATAAGGTACTCAATATGAGGATTGAAGCTAAGTGACATGTCAAAAATCACATCCAGGTCCTTGCATTCTTGTACTCTCAGCAGAGAATGATTGCCAATTCTGTAGTCAAATGCAATAATATCTAGCTTTCTGGTGTAAGACATAACACTACATTTACTGTAGTTAATTGGAAGTCGATTTACAGCACACCATTTAACTATTTTGGCTAGGTCTTTTTGTAAGTGAGCACAGCCAGTGCTGCAGTCGACATTGGAAAAAATTTAGATTAAGTGGCTGCTGTCGATGTCGCTAACAATATCGTTTATGAACAGTATGAAAAGCAAAGGACCTAAGCAGGAGCCTTGAGGTACCCCTGAGATTGGGAAGAATTCAATGGATTTGACACCCTCATATTCAACATATTGCTTTATTCCTGATAGATATGACTTAAGAAAGGATAACAGCTTATGGGAGAATCCAAAATAGCTCAGCTTCGTTAACAGAATACTGTGATCAAATTTGTCAAATGCTTTACTAAAATCTATATAAATTACATCCACCTGGCTATTAGCATCTAATGCAGAGGAGACTGACTACTGATCTACCCTTCATAAAGCCATGCTGAGACGTACTTATTTGGGAATGTGTATTGTGGTATAGGAAATTATGAAGCAAAGTTTCTAAGGCCTTGGAAAAGATACATACTAGGGTTATCGGTCTATAATTTTCAACCTGTAGTCTATCACCCTTCTTGAAAATGGGACGCACCTTTGATTCGCCCCAAATTTCAGGAAACGTGTCAGTCTTTAAACACAGGTTGAAGATCTTTGTCAAGGGATGAGCTAAGACGTAGGCACAGTCATGCACTAAAAATGATGGGATTCCATCGGGTCCGGAGGTAAATTTATTTTTCATTTGCTTTAACACTGTAAAAACTTCTTCTTCGGAAAAGCTCTGAAGTATTATGTTAGTATGCAAGTCCGAAATATTGATATCAGTTGCGTTCGAGGGCATAGTATATACAGATTGAAAAAATACCGCAAAAGCATGTATTTGTAGATGAGGGGCCTTAGCATCTACTATAAAGAATATACAAATTCTTCTGTACCATTTCTTTTACGACAGGGTTCACATTTGGCTAGTTAGCCATATCAAAGAAGTTTTGGATCACATATCCCGATTTTTTATTTTTGAGATGATGCGGTATCCAAAATTAGGCAACTGTCCAATATTAGGCGACTTTCATCTAAGTCTGAAAGTCCCGCAGTGTGTTCACCAAACTGTTCAACTAAGTCCTTCTTGAACATGATTGTTTAAATAAATCGAATCAGGATATTATACTAAGTGACATATAAATCCGAACACCCAGTTTAAATGGTTTTATTTTAATAAAAGTTGGTGAACGTATTTATGTTACTGTAAATAACAAGTGAAAAAATTTTCAGCCTTATCAGTTGGACATTCCGGTTTTTATACTTCTTTTTTTTAATTCACTAACGCTCTAAAAATGAATATTTCAGCCACATTAAAGAATCAACGTTGGCGGATTTTGGTTCTTGACATCCTTTACGATCGGTTACGATGCCTAAAGTACGGAGACCTGTACGATTTCGTCAACTTAGTGAGTTTGATAGGGGCCGTATAGTGGGACTTCGGGAAGCTGGACTTTCTTTTCGGGCAATTTCAGTTAGAGTGCAAAGAAGTGTAGACACTGTGGTTGGGTGTTGTCAGGCATGACTTCGAGAAGGCCGTACGCAAAGAGCAAGGGGCACTGGACGCCGCCGTAGAACAACAGACCGGTAAGATCGCCGCCTAAGATTATTGGCCTTAAGGGACCGTTTCTCCACTACCAGGTCCATTGCAAATGAATGGTTTGCAGAACACGGAAGACCTATTGGCATGCGAAGTGTTTACCGACGAATGAGAAGTTTTGGCTTGTTTTCATACCGGCCACAGTGGGTCCTCCCTTTAACTCGAGAACACCGACGTAATCGCCTTGAGTGGTGCAGACAACGGTCACTCTGGGATCTGTTCCATTACAGTATTGTCTTTGGTGATAGGTCTCGATTTTGTTTAGGCATGCATGATGCTCGTGCCAGGGTTAGAAGGCGACGTGGTGAAAGGAGGAATCCACAGTTTTTTGTTGAAAGACATGTTCATCACACTGTTGGAATTATGGTTTGGGGTGCTATAGCTTATGGTTCCAGGTCACCTTTAATCTTCATCAGAGGTAACATGAACGCGCAGCGTTATACCCACGAAGTTCTAGAACCCCATCTTTTACCCTATCTTGACACCCTGGCAGATCCAACTTTCCAACAAGATAATGCCCGACCACATGTTGCAAGAGTCACAATAGACTTCTTTCAACATAATGATGTCACATTGTTACCATGGCCACCAAGATCTCCCGACTTATCCCCAATTGAGCACGTGTGGGATATGATGGGTAGGAGATTGCTCAATTTGCAACGTCCTCCTCAGACTCTAGAAGCACTTCGAGAGTAGTTGGTGGTTGCCTGGAATGAGATTCCACAGGAGGACATTGACCTCCTGATCACAAGCATGCCTAGGCACGTTGGAGAATGCGTAGCACATCAGGGTGCATCCACACATTATTAAAGGTCAAAGGGCTTTAAAGCAGTGCAATCATTTTGAAATTTTTATCATTTACTTATTACGCTTCATTAAGTACTTATACAAAATTTTATTAAAATAAAACCATTTAAACTGGGTGTTCGGATTTATATGTCACTTAGTATATTTTAGAAATATTTGAATCGCTCTCAGTCATTTTAATGTTCAAAAATCTTACCTTAAGATTTCGTCGAAATGATTTATGAGCCCGAAGATAAGGTTGATGTCCCTTATCTGCGCCAAACTATCTTTCATTATTTCTATCTGTATCCCAATCTGTATCAGCAAATTCGCGTCTAAAGTCATGAAATTGCTGCACATGAATACCGAATAGATGGCAACGATTTCTTGGAAGACGAAAAGACTGATAAAACTTATCCGCGGTGGCACATACGTGGCAAATAAGAGTTCGCGTTGCTTTCCAAAGAGCTTCGATAACGGGTACAATAATATAATGGTGAGAGATGTTGTAAAGCAGTATTTTCTGATGAAGTCGCCGTCCTTCTTCATATTCTTCGCTATCTGTACATGCTTCTTAGATTTTGGTCGGAATGTCTGAAACAAATGAAAAAGGCTACAAGAAATTTATCTACACTCATTTTTCACCTAAAGTGTGACACTGCTCGAAAAATTCTCCATAATAGCCATTATATTTTGTTGCCTTCTACTCGTACGTCATCAACCTAAGATCTGGGATAAAAATACAGGGTGCGGCAGAGAGGACGGACGTTTTTGGGATGGGTAGTACTCTCCGCCTCCGTCTACGAGAGAGGTGGGGAGGGTGCCGTTTGACTCGTGAGATCCTAGCATTATTTTACCAGTTGTCGTTATGGAGCTTTGGAAGGTGGAGCACCGCGTTTTCGCCTATGATTTTTTCGTCCGAAATAATGAGTCAGTCATCGTCGTACAGCGTGAGTTTCATCGCCACTTCAACATTCATCGGAATAGAGCTGTTCCCTCTCGAAACACCATCCTTCGTTGGGTTGAATCACTTCGCAGGCGTGGTGAACTGATCAACAGAAGACCAAGAGGAGCGCCGCGAACAGTTCGAACTCCTGAAAATGTTAAACGCGTTCGACAGGTCATTCTTCGCAGTCCGACTCGATCTGCCCGGAAACATGCTGCTGCACTTCGCCTTAGTGATCGTTCGGTAAGGCGAACTTTGCATATGGATCTGCGCTTTCACCCCTACAAATTGGCCATTGTGCAACAGTTACAGCCCGGAGATTATGCACAACGAATGAACTTCGCACGTGAGATGGAAGCACTGATCGATCAAAATGAGAACCTTTTGTTTATGAGTAACGAAGCTAGTAGTAGAGCTAAGGGCATTCCACAGCGGAAGTGAGATAAAACAGCCGATGGGCGGTTGCAGGTTCGCGTTATCGGCGCACTTTCACCTAAACAGCATGGTTAACCAGCAGAATTGTCGTTATTGGGCTAATGAAAATCCGCAACAGTTACACAAAAGACCGTTGCCCAGCCCAAAAGTAACGGTTTGGTGCGCTGTATCGCGAACTTCCAAGAACGCCTCCAGCACTGCATCACCGATTTCGGCCACCACATGCCTGACGTGATTTTAAACACTTGACTGTCTCAAATGCTATTTCCTTGTGAACCTGATTCCATCAATAAATTTGTTTTCGAGTAACAATTAACTATATTATGATTTTTTAAAACCGTCCACCCTATACAATCTTTTCTGTACTACAATCTTTACAGTTAATATAGTTTTTCGTTTAATCCGTAGTTTCTTCGGCTAAAACTAGAACGTATTCTCTACTTTAGATACTATCAATAATATTAAGAATTGAGTTTTTCAAAACAGTTGTGACACTTGGTAATGATTTTTCGTGATTGAAATTATTTTTTTCAATTTTCTTGTGTGAATATTTCGTGTCTTGCAACTGCTGGGTATGTTTTTCATATAAAATTTAAAACACTGTGGAATTCAGCAGCTACAAACTTGAACTACAGTTCTAACCAGATTTTGACACTACATTTTTGTAAAGATGGTTTTAATATACTCTTCAATCTTTCCTATTACAAGAGATGTACAATTGTGATCTGGTATCTGGAATCTAGTATATGGTATCTGGTATCTGGTATCTGGTATTTGGTATCTGTTATCTCTTTATCTGGTATATGGTATCTGGTATCTGGTGTCTGGTATCTGGTGTCTGGTGTCTAGTATCTGGTGTCTGGTATCTAGTACAATATTAACTTTTGATTGTAAATAAAAGAACAACATTTGGAAGGTATATGCCCCATTTCTGTTGCATTTTGTTTTGTGGCTTTTGTTTGTTTCTTGAGTTCTCATAAAAAGGAACACATAAAAATGCAAATATTAAATAAATTAATACTGCTACAGTGGCTGTTCCATGGACATACAATGTGGAGGTTGACTGAGTTTCAATGTGTAGTTAAGTGTTTGTGGTGGCGGCGTGTATTGTTTGGTGATAAAGAAGCAATCAACTTTCGTACATTTACGGTGTCAGGTAAATGTTAAATTCCAGGTAGCGTATCGAGAAGCCTTTTTGAGAGATTCACGTTCACCACACCGTGGGAGTTTATGGTATGGGGTGCTATTGCTTATGGTCGCAGATCACCACTAATTTTCATCAGAGGCAATATGACAGCCTGACGCTATGTTCAGGAAGTAGTGAAACCTCATCTTATTCCATATCTAGACGCCATCGAGAATCCGATTGTCTCATGCTGCCAGAGCATCGTTAGCATTCATGGATCAACATCGCATCAGCCGTTCACCTTGGCCACCACGATCGCCTGACCTATCTCCAATTGAACATGTCTGGGACATGGTAGGTCGCAGGCTCTTAAATTTGCAACACCCTCCATAGACTTTAGCAGCTCAAACTGACGAAATTGCAGTAACCTGGGATGAGATACCCCAACAGGATATCGACCACATTATCAGCACAATACCCAGGCGTGTCAATGAGTGTATAAGAAATCGTGGAACCTCAGATACTAGATGTAATGTAAATGTTGAAAATGGCCTGCATGCAATCATAAAGATTTTGCTCAAAACGTTGCCGCACATTTTGCAATATTTGAGGAGTAATTTGAAGGCTGAGTAGTATAGATTTTGCTTTTTAAATGACGGAAATCCAAAGGTGATGAATCTGGCGATCTTGGGGGCCATTCAATGGCACCTCTTCTACCAATCCATCGATCTGGAAACGTCTGATCTAAATATGGTCGAACACGTAATGCGTAATGTGGTGGGGCACCATCCTGTTGGAACATGAATCTATTCGCAATGTACCGCCGATCATTCTAATTTTTAATTATGGCTGTTAATGCAGGATCTATGACGTCTTCCAGTAATTCCAAATACCTTTCACCGGTCAAATTTACAGGTAAGAAAGAAGGACCAACTAAATGATCGCCAAAAATACCAGCCCAAACATTTAATTTTTGTGGCTGCTGTGTATGAACCTCATGATAAATTCTGGGATTAGAATCGGACCAATACCGGCAGTTGTGACGTCTTACTACGCCATTTAAGAAAAAGGAACATTCGTCGGAAAAGCAAGTGTTGAATAGAAAATGTTTATCGTTTATAATTCGTTCACTCATATCTTCTCAAGATTGTAATCGCCGATCAAGATCGTCTTCATTAAGTTCTTGTACCAGGTGAATTTTATACGGATGAAAACTATGGGCCTTTAGAATCCGTTGAACAGTACGTCGACTAACACCACACACAGTCTCCAATTTGCGGGTACTTAACGTAGGATCTACATAAACTTGCCAAAAAACCCCCACTTTTATTGCTTCGTTCCTTATGGGATTTTCAATGTTGCGTTTTTTTATTGGCGACTGACCCAGTTTCCCGAAAGTTAGTTCTAGAACATATTTTCGATGCACGTTACTGTTCTCATGTCGCTCATTAAATATTTCTGCTGTTCTATTAGCGCACTGATTATCTCCGAAAAATATTTCGATAATTTCAACTCTTTCTGCTGTGGAATATACCATGGTTAATTTATGTAATGAAGCGTTACAAGTTATTTTAGCAACAAAGTTTGATCAAATCAATCGCAAACTATGTACTAAATTCCTATTTAAAATAAGTACGAGATATTCCCTTATCTTTCTTCAAGAAATAACTTTTTTGCCACAAAAAAAAACGCTCCAATAGCTATTTTCAACAACAAAATGATAAACAAACCATCGGCGTAGTGAAGAAAAGCATTTACTTATTAAGTACATTCTTTTAGTCAAATTTCTTCTGAAAGTAGTACAATCTGATGTACCTATTAAAGTCTACTTTAAGCTTTAAATCGATAAACCTTTAAAACTACTGAACTGAAGCTCATGTATTTTACATCATTATAAAGGGAATTGAAAGACCTTTAAAAAACTTGTGTCCCCCTCGAAAACAAAATCGACGAGTCAGAGCGTTTTTCAAAAAAAAAACTGAGCTGCCAGTAAATGCGTCTGTTTCGTTTTCGATGCGCCACTTTTTGGAATCAAAATTAAAAACTCTATTCGTCTGCGCAACAATACGATATGTCGTCCAAAAGAGGAAATACAGTGGATATTGGAGGACAAGAGATGAAATGTCATATTGAAATTTTAATTACACCATCTTGTAGAGGAGAAAAAGTGCGGCTTACAAGATCTTTGTCTGGTATTAAAATGTGAAAAAAGTTATTTCTTTTCCTACAATAAACTACTACTATCCATTACAGGCGATATTACTCAAAAAGAATATGTATGTGAACACTAATGTCAATGTTATATTTAATTTGTATTCTACAGTTACAGCTTGAAATTATTCGTCCATGCACAGGCAATGTCTCCTATCTGGCCTGTTTTTATTTTATATTTCATATTATTTGTTTTCTTTGTATATTGGGTGAATGTTGATGTCGCTTGTACCGCCTTGTATTCAGTTATCAATATCATCTTTGAGGTCCATGTCCCTAAATGCAAAAGTAAAATGTTTTCGTATCCCCCATGATTCACACGTGAAATTATACTTAATATCAAGAAGAATGACATAGCAAGAAGGAACTGGAAACGTGACGGTACTAAGTTTTCTTATGATCAGTTCAGTAATTTTAGGAAGCTCATTAAGAACCAGATCAGTGTTGCCTACTCCGCTTACGTCCAATCGGTTGAGGATGCCATTGTCAATGATCCTAGCAAATTCTGATCATTTGCTCAGATCAAGAAACAGCAATCTAGAATCCCAGAACGATGACGCTTAACGGCAATCTCTTCGATACGCCTCAGGATATAGTGGACAGTTTTGCTACCTTCTTTTCAACAGTTTTTATCCCGTCTGGTCTAGTAGGGTCATCTCCTTCAACACATAATTCTACCGATCTCATTTCTTTAAAAAATATAAGTGAAGAAAACGTGATTAGGGCTTCGAAAAGATTAAAGAACAAAATGACGTCTGAATGTGATGGTATTCCAAGTTTTTTCGTTAAAGATTGCATTCATATACTAGCGAAACCGCTGGCTTCCATATTCAACCTAATTCTAAAATCAGAGACATATCCAAATATCTAGAAGACCTCTAAAATATGTCCTA